TCACAATTACTCTGTTTAAAATTACTGCAGCCGCACTGTATAGTGTGCTCACTGGGAAGAGTTTAGGTTATAGGTACTGTGGCAGCAGGTAAACAGTACGGCAGACAAGCAAGCAAATTAATAAAACTGCTGGGGAAATAAATCAAAATACATACATAAAGCGTTATCGCAACAGTCGGTGCGTCAGGCTCATTGTTGTTTTTGCTTTGCGCGAGGAATTCCGTTGCCATAAAATCTAAATTTTACCATGCAGTCGACGATTACTACAATGCCCGCTAAGCTATCAAGTCAAGTGTTATTGGGCATTGGTGTGGTCGCTGCTTGTCGCTGCCAGCTGCTTGCCTAGTCGAATTTTGTGTTATAAGCAAAATGACGGCACAAAACAAAATGTCGAATCGCATAGTTCCGCTTCTGCGGCGGCCGCCAAATTGTATGGCAACATGATTTTTACAGCTGGCCATACCACACATCAGACGCCATTTGCCTAATGCAACAATACCGATTTAGCGCGCATGAAAACGATTTCCGTCAATGGCGGATTTAAATCAAATTAAACTGAATTTTCATAGCTGCGGCTCCTACAACTGCATAAACAATTCAAAATCAATAGATTAACAATGAAATATTGCACTCAATATGCAGAACAACAGTGCTTTGAAGCTATTAAGCTATAAACTGTAAATTATTCAATAAAACAACTAATTCCAATTCGAACAGCTGTTTTTACCGCTTGCCCGGGCAGTGAATGTTATTTGGCCCGGGCGAGTCATACCAACACACAAAGCTGTGCACATAATTTTCACAGACATCGCGTTGGCGGGAATCAAATCGAAATATATACACGCGTGTGGTTACTATGTTTACCTACTACATTAAAAAAGTGGTATTCGAGCTTTTTACACAATTTCATTTGACCGAGAATTTATGGTATGCAATTCATTCTGCACGCCTGTGAAGTGAACAAACAAAATGACTACTCGCCGTCGTTGCAATACAACCGGCGACGACAATGGCGTTATGTACACCGCGTGAAACGAATATACCGCATATGTTTCGCACACCAACAACTCGACGGACGGACGAGCGTTGAAATTTGTTTAACGAGTTTTGTTTGCCGAGCAAAATATACACAAACCAATATGCAGGTGATCAGAGTATTTAGGCGCATGCATAATATAAACACGTGTTTACACGAACGTTTACGAAGATGTAGTGTTTAATACGCAGAGGAAAAAAGGGATTGTCATCGGCATACATTGCACAAAAAACAGAACTTTAATGGTGTAAACACAATAATTTTCGATATTCAAAATTAAAAATTTATCAACATATATATTTAAAATATAAATATAAATATATAGAATATATATTACATATAAAAAATACCGAAAAAATAATCAAAAATAAATATTTAAGCTTCTCATAACTTCACATTACAAATTTAAATATTTAGGGTTACAAATATCAAAGTGCTGTACTCATCACAGCAACAGTTGGTTTTTATAGATATGTATGCATGTAAATATGTATATCTTCATTCTCCTTCATATATGTACATATAATATTTTGGTGACTATCAGAGTAACACGTGCGCACATGTTCCCCGCCTCAAAACCTGCTACTCACACACTCTCCTCATTTGTTTGCTACCAAATACACTACTTTCGACGACCCCTAACGCTAGCCGCATAAAACCAAACCCCTTGCAATTTACATATAATTCTTTTCAATGCCCCTGCTTACCGTTCCGCAATGACAATAACAACTCAGCTGTTATGCTGCGCTCGTGTAGCACTGCCCCACATGTCATCTCATTCACTCTAAACTTTTGCCAACGCCTTTTCCGCCTCGGCAACACTCTCACTCTTACAAATGGCGTGAAAAGCCAGACAAAGTGTCGTTATGTGTTGCCAGATGTAAGAAATGCAGAGGATGCAACATTTTTTAAATCTCCAAAAATACCCAAGAATTAGAATCATCTAATAAAATTTTTTGCAAATATGGATTTGTGTTTATTTAATATGTTTCCCATTTATTTGGTAAGAATGCATAGCAAACAATGATTTTGAAAATGGTTGCAAGTTTTTTAATAAAATAATTTTGAACTAAAATGTATTAGTTGAGACTAAACTGGAAATTAAATTTTTAATTGATAAATCGGATATAAAAATGTTTTAATGTGTAAGTTTGTTGTTCACTGCTTTAGTTTATTGAATGTGGTGACTTTGGGCGAGTTCTATATCTATCAAAATAACACGAAGTACGCAAGATCGAAAAAATGTAAATTTCAAATTTTTTTTTTATTTTAGTGATAAGTCTGGGAGAAAATTTTTTATTTTTCAACCCGGTATTTGGGATTAAATATTTATTTTTATTTTTTCCATCCGGTACTTAGGATTAGAAATTTGAAAATTATTTTTAATTTAGAATTTCGGTATTACAAAATAAAAAATGAAGTAATTAAAAAGATAATTCGCGTATTCTTCAAATGGCAGTTTATATATTTAATATATATATAAAGTTAGTCTACAACTTCATAAAGAACATACCAGATATTTTGGATTTCAGCACTTATTCATTTTAAGAAAATGATAGCTGAATAAAGCGCTAAAACCAAAACGCTAATAAAGCGACGCTTGAATTTAACCTGCACAATTTTCACAAAAGTAATATATAAATTATTGCTCCAGAAATAAAGCCTCCATTTTTCTACGCAACATCTGGCCACACCTGCACTTTTATACAAACAACATGCCGCAATTCTCTCCGTTTTGTTGCCGGCCAAGATATGTGTTGGTTTTCTGTTCGCCTGGTAGAAAAGAGGGAAGCGAAACTCTTTTGGCGGGGTCTATTTCGCTGCTCGCTAGTTGGTTCGGCCACAGAAGGCACGGCAAGCGTAGCCCAAATCCAACCGGCGTCCGTTGGTGGTGTGTCTTCATTGCGCACCGTGTTTATTGTTGTTGCATAACAAGCGGTAATTTGTTCTTTTGTGTCGTGCCAAACTCCAATTGAGACATGGCAATGAATATCACAATCGTTTTTTCAATCGTCATACCTACTACCTACCTATTAAGTGAATGCGAATGAACATGGCTATGGATGTTTCTCACCCGCTTTACGAAACCAAAGACGTTATTGAATGGCTACTGCTCTGCCCACCCCTCTGTTGATGGGCATGGAAAATCAACGTGAATGGTTAGTGTTGACGGATACATTTCTGCATGCATGAATATATTCTTAGCACAAATTGCCTTTCTGTGTGGCCTAATGTTTGATATTCGCTTTCGCTTGTATACCCCTCTATACGCTTCGCAACAACAATGAACAGCGAGTATCTCATAAAAGGGGAGTAATTATGGCTGGCAAATTGGCAAGTTGGTGTAGTGGCTAACTGAGCAGAAAATTGATTCATAGGGGGCGTGGTTCTTGGTACATGAAAAGGTCTATAATAGTGCGATTTCTGTTTTAGTTAACATGCTTACATGCCTTTTGTAATGTATTTAATTGGAAATAGAGTATCACATACAAGTTGTCTGGTATAAATGTATGTAATTTTAAATCTTTATCGCAATCCACAATAACTATTTGGTAAGTAGTTACATATAAATTTATGCGAAATTAGAAATTGCCAACGTTTTTATTTAACACAGGCACGTTTATGTGACGATTAGGACTGAAGTAGGCAAGTAGTGAGCTTAATTTAATGCTCAATCATACAATAATGTACTACAAAAGTATTTAATCTATATGTTATCGATATCGATTTCCGTATTCTTGGTCAAAGTAGTTGTTTAATAACTCGAATATGACAATTATGTCTGAAGTTGGTATTTACATATGTAGGTAAAACTGAACTTCATAAAGTGATTTATCTAAAAAAAAACAAAAATCATGAAGAAATAAATTAGTAAAGTATCTACATGCTATCGACAATAATCAAATCGAACGTTTATTATTTATTAGCACATATGTTTCTTTATTTACACATCAAATTATGGATGGACACCGATGTCGCAATAGAAACACAAACCTTTTACTCTATTACACTTAAGCTAAAATACCCCACACAAATAAAAAAATTTCCATATAAGAATTTGATTTTGATCTGTCAGTTTGTATGGCAAATAAGCAGACTCAGATCGATATCTCAAATACTGAGAACTTGTTCGCGTATTTACAGACTCGTAATTTACTTAGCTCGTCACGCTGATCATTTATATAAGTATGTATATATATATGTATGTACATATTTTATAGGGTCTCCGACGCTTCGTTCTGGGTATTAAAACTTCGTGACAAACTCAATTTACACTGTTTTTAGAATTCTTAACATTATTAATAATTTCCAATCGTTACTATACTAAATTATTTTTTTGTTGTAATGCGAACATATGTGTATATGTATGCAGTTTCAACAGAAAACAAAATAACAGCTACATATACATATATTTTTGTAATCGATTCTAAGTCAGTGATTTAACAGAAGTCATTTTCACTTGATTCGCATTTATATAGATGCATAGAATAATAAGTATATGTGCTAAAAAAAAATTAAAACATATTGATTGAATTTTCCAAAAAAAAAAACATCTATAATAAAAAACATAATTCAAATTTATAAGTAGTAGATATAAATGTTAGGAAAATCAAACTAAAATTTTTGACAACTATCTGATCACTTTATAGAAAAAACTTAAAACCTATCACTTATTTATCTTCAAAACGGTTGAAATTGCTATAATTAGCGAGTTTTCTATCATTATTAATTTACGGATCGATGAATTAAATTTCTATACCCTTTGTAGTAATATGTATGATAATATAAAACAAGGATTAAGGGATGGAGATTAAATTGTTATAATGATGAAAAAATAATATAGTAAATTACTTAAAAAATCATCAATGAAACATCTGAACGCCATCTATAGGTGACATTTGTAAAAAGCAGCATAGACAGAGAACGTATGATATACGTTCTCCTAAAAACGTTCTCTGCTTCTTCTTGTACTGTTTGACAAATGTCAAGGAATATAGACATTTCTTTTTGACAGATAAAACGCTTAATTTGTGGTATTTGCTCGAATTTATAGCGTTAAATTCGCAAAGAACGCGCTCATTTTGTGCTTAATTTACGTGAAAAGTGTAGAAAATCGAGTAGCGTATATTAACGCTGCTATTTAAATAAAATTTTTGCATTTTCTGTAGTAATTACTGCATGCGGCGACTGCGGACTTCAACGAAGGCGCAGACGGCTGGGGCAGCGACGGCGACAACGACGACGACGAAAGGTGGTGTTGCCAGCAATAGTAGCTGTGGTGGTGCATCAACAGTGTCAACCGGAATAACGCCGCATGCGGATTGTAAAACAACAAGCCACAATAGCAGTTTCAGTGGAAGTGGTGGTAGCAATAATTTGACAACAAGCAACAGCAGCAGTGGTGCTACAGCAGCCATCACAACCGCCGTTGTAACAGCAAAAGCAGGTGCGGGACGTCAGAAACACAACAGCATGGACGTTAAGCTGAGTGGGGATGTATTTAAGAACTTTGAAAAGACTGGAAAGAGTGAATTGTATGTGACCGGAAATAATAAACGAAGTGAAATGCGTTCATTACAATATTGCTTAAACGAAACATTTTTATTTTAGTTTGAAGTTCTTAAAACAACAAGTGAAGGAAAATGATAATCCGATTTTTGGCAAAAATGACGAATTTAAATTCGGAATCTCCAGGGCAATATACGATCTGCTATGGCATGGACTACGTTGCACGTTGAAAAAAGATACAGTGCTAAATACTTTAGCCGATGTTGTGGTAAGTAAACGCGAGTAATTGTATGCCTACATATACATACATACCGAATGCCATTGTGGGCAAATTTTACATTAAATGAAAAGTAAATATGCCAAATTTTGTATTTAAACGCAGACGTTGCATACTGATTTTCCATCGGTTATACTGGACATTGTAAATATATTGGATGCAGAGACTTCTCTAATGACTGATGGCATACAAGAAGAGCGGCTCATGTTTAGTCAGATTATTAAAGATCTCGACAAGGTAATCTCGGATAAGCTAATAAAAGAGCGTTTGGAAATCGATACGCTGCAAGATGTAGGCATTGTAAAGAACAAGGTGTTCTACACCAAATTTATTAAGATAAAAACAAAGCTTTAGTAAGTGTGATATTTTACCAAATGTACGTTTAGCATACTGACTATAATTTCAGTTACAAACAGCGTCGCTTTAATCTTTTTCGGGAGGAGAGCGAAGGCTATGCCAAGCTAATCACCGAACTAAATCAAGATTTTGAGGAGGGTGTGACTGCCACAAGCATAATGGATATCATAAAATCGCTTATAGGTATGCATTATAATTGGTGTGTCAAATATGGAATTGTATGTATTTGTAAATTTTTTTTTTCATATTAAAGGCTGTTTCAATTTGGACCCCAATCGCGTACTTGATATAATTATTGAATCATTTGAAACACGTCCCGAGCGGCGGCATCTTTTCATACCGTTGTTACGCGCGTACATGCCAAATGGTTCAATTATATGTGAAGTACTCGGTTATAAATTTCGCTACTTTGCCGACACAAGAACGCCACGTTCACTTTTCCATGTTTGTTCACTGCTTCTGAAATATGGCGTAATCGAACTACATGATATATACCAATGGGTGAGTATGATTGCCATTTTATTACAAGAAAGCGACACTAAACGCTGATATTTTCTAAAGCTTGCGCCAGTTGATAAAAATATTACAAGCGAATGGGAAAACGATCTAGCGGAGGCGAAAGAATTTGTGCGCAAACTAAATATAATAGTAACAAATAAAGATAAAGAACATGTGGAGCCAGAAATGGAGAAACCTTACGATGAAGTAACTAATTTTAAAAATTTAAATTATCATAATAATTTTTAAATTCATCAAAATCTTAGGAAAAGTACTATGCCAACCAGAAATTCGGTTTGTGTGAGGGTCTGCTCAAAGTTGGTGACTGGGAAAATGCTTATAAAATTATCAAAAAACTACCGGAGCAATCCGTTGCTGTGCATGAGTCCATTGCACGTGCGCTCGCCGAACTAATTCACATTTCTATCGATTATGTGTATACGGAAAAATGTTTTAAAGCGAATTCACGCCGTTCGAAATTGACTGATGATAAGAAATTGCTGCAGAAATTGCAAGCTCGTGAATTTTCTGAACTTCGCAACTATACCATACCGATGGTGATAGCTCTCGGTCCTGCTTTGCATTTTGACACAGTGCTCATGTATAAACTTATACGTATATTGCGCACAATAATGACCGATATGGGTGTGGATAGTCTGAATGCGCCCACACCAAACACCGAATCAGAAACATTGTACTTCGAGGTGATGACTGTTATGGACGCAGCAATATTACCGGCACTTTCCTACCTAGACTGCAATTGCCCTATGGCTGAAGAGATTTGGACTGTATTAAAATTCTTTCCGTACCATTTTCGGTAAGCAGAAACTTTAGTTATGCCTGTTGTTATACCCTGAACAGTGTACATTAAGTTCGCCACGATTATAAGCGTGATGAGCTGAGTCGATTTCATGTCCGTCTGTATATACCAGAACTAGTCCCTCTGTTTTTGAGATATCGCTCTGAAAATATGCACATGTCTTTTTCTCCCCAAGAAGCTGTTCTTCTGTCGGAATCGCCTATATCGGACCACTTTAAGATATAGCTACCATACAAACTGAACAATTAAAATGCAGTCCTTGTATAGACAACTTTTTTATTTGACAACATATCTTTATGAAATTTGTCAACAATTATTGGCCAAGGCAACGGTACAATCTCCAAAGAAATATTTTAGATCGGACCTTTATAATATATAGCTGCCACATAAAGCGAAACGAACCTTATTTGAGTCTTTGTATGACAAAAAAATTATTTGGCGAGGTATTTTCACGAAATTTGATATGAAGTATTGTTGTTGTTGTCGTTGTAGCGGCAGAATTCTGCCGAGTTGACAGTCCAGCCGGATAAAATTCGGTTCCGTATACCCGACTGTCGTGGAAACGAACATGAATTATTGTCCAAGACAATGCTACAATCTCCGAATAAATTGTTCAGATCGTACAACTATAGCATATAGCTGCCATATAAACAGAACAGAACATAAAGTCCTTGTATGGAAAACTTTTTTATTTGACAACATATCTTCACGAAATTTGACATGAATTATAGTCCAATGCAACGGTGCGCTCCCCAAAATAATCTTTTAGATCAGACCACTATAGCATATAGCTGACATATAAACTGACCGAACAAAATCAAGTTCTTATATGGAAGATTTATTATTTGTGATAGGTATACTATCTTCGGCAACCGAAGTTAACAACGTTTTCTTGTTTTTAATTTCTGTTAATCTTTGCCTGCAATTTTCGGCACAACAGTTATAGTTTGTATGCGCGTTGGAAGAACGACACATACCTGGTGCATCCTGTGCTAATACGACGACGTGGTTTGGCACACAAAAATATCAAGGCTTTAATGAAGCGCGTCAGTAAGGAGAATGTGAAGCCGGTGGGGCGTCTTATCGGCAAGTTGAGCCATTGCGCACCTGGCTTTCTCTTCGATTATGTATGTTACATAAATTTATATGGTATACAAATTTTAAAATTATACATATTTTTCACAGATCCTACTACAAATTCAAATATACGATAATCTAATTGGGCCTGTAGTCGATTCATTGAAATATCTCACATCGTTATCGTTCGACTGTTTGGGCTATTGTCTCATTGAAGCGCTAGCAAAGGCGGATAGGGATCGCTTTAAGCATGACGGTACCTCGATTTCACTGTGGCTACAAAGTTTAGCCTCTTTCTGTGGTGCGATATTCAAAAAGTATAACATCGAGCTTAGTGGCTTGCTACAATATGTTGCCAATCAACTAAAGTCGCAAAAGAGGTTTGTTGTTGTAAATTTTTTGTTAAACAACTATTAAATGATTTGCTTTTTCTCATTTTCCAAAGCTTGGATCTGTTAATTCTAAAGGAAATTGTGCAAAAAATGGCTGGCGTAGAATCCGCCGAAGAAATGACAAATGAGCATTTAAATGCCATGTGCGGTGGTGAATTGCTGCGTGGTGAGGTGAGTATACCGTTGTTAATCGAATGTACAACATTTTTGTATTTAAAAAATATCTTTTATAACTCACAGGCCGGCTACTTCAGTCAGGTGCGTAACACGAAGAAGTCTTCACAACGTTTGAAGGATGCACTCGCCAATAATGATTTGGCTGTTGCCATATGCTTGCTCATGGCTCAACAAAAACACTGTGTCATCTATCGTGAGACTGCGCAAAGTCATCTTAAGCTTGTTGGCAAATTGTACGATCAATGTCAAGATACCTTGGTGCAATTTGGCACATTTCTTGGCTCTACATACTCGGTGGATGAATATGTCGAACGTTTGCCATCTATCATCGCCATGTTGCAGGAATATCACATCAATGCCGATGTGGCGTTCTTCTTGGCACGTCCAATGTTCACACATCAAATCAATGTAAACTCATATATAATTTTTTTTATTTTCATTTTCAATTAATAAATTATTGTTTACTTAAAAAACAGCAAAAGTACGATCAGTTGCGCAAGGCGGACCCCAATGCAAAAAAGTTGACGACCAATCAAAAATTGCAAAAATATCTAGAAGCCACCAATTTAATTATGAACCCTATTGTTGAGTCTGTGCGTCCGCTACATGGTCCCAAAGTTTGGGAGGATATTAGTCCACAGTTTTTGGTGACTTTCTGGTCGCTTAGTATGTACGATTTGCAAGTACCCGCCGAGAGTTATCAGAAGGAAATTTCTAAATTGAAACAATTGTCACAGCAGGCAGCAGAATCCAAAGATTCGGTAATTACAAAAAAAAAAAAAACTTAAAAAAAATTAAAAAAAAAATAAAAAAAAAAAATAATATAAAAAACAATAATAAAAAAAAATTTATAATGATAAAAAAAAATAATAATAATGGTAAAAAATAATAATACTGATAAAAACAAATAATTTAAAAAAAATAAATAGCACTGATAAAAAAAAAAACAAAAAAAATAATACTGATAAAAAAAGTAAAAAAAAAAATAATAAAAAAGTAATAAAAAAAAAATAAAAATAATAAAAAAAAAAAAATAAAAAAAATAAAAATAATAATAAACAAAATTTAAAAAATGTTTAACCAAAAAAATAAATATATTTATTCATCACAGAATGCCTCTAAGAACAAGAAAGAGCAGGAGCGCTACATTGCTCTAATGGATAAGCTACAAGATGAACGTAAAAAACAGCAGGAACATGTCGATAAAATTCTACAACGCTTACAACAACAAAAGGACAATTGGTTCCTTTCGCGTTCGGCAAAATCGGCAAAAAATGAGACTATTACACAATTTCTACAGCTGTGCCTGTTTCCAAGGTAGCATTCTTTATAATAAATAAATTTTATATTTGATAGTAAAAATATACATTTCTTATATTACCAGATGCACCTTCACTGCCCTCGATGCGCTTTACTGTGCGAAATTCGTGCACACCATACACAACCTGAAGGCTGCCAATTTCTCCACACTACTTTGTTATGATCGGGTTAGTATGCGTCTAATTAGTCGCAATAACTTTTCATACGCTGTTTAGGGTATATTAAGTTTGCCACGAAGTTTGTAAGATCCAGAAGGAAACGACGAAGACTCATTAACAAATATATATAAATGATTACTGAAAATCTGAGCCGATTTAACCATTCCGTCTGTCTGTGTATATACTGGAACTAGTCCCTATTTGAGATATCGATCTGAAATTTCGCACACGTCCTGTTCTCCCTGAGAATATGTTCATTTATCAGAACCGCCGATATCGGACCACTATAGCATATAGCTGCCGTACAAACTGAACGATCAAAATGAAGTTCCTGTATAGAAAATTTGTTTATTTGACGAGATATCTTCACGAAAATCGGCATGAATTACTGTCTAGAGCCGCGCTACAATCTTTCAATATATTGTTCCGGTCGGACCACTATAGTATATAGCTGCCATACAAACTGAACGATCTAATTCAAGCTCTTGTATGGAATACTTTTATATTTGACAACTTATTTTCAAGAAATTTTGCATGGATTATTGTTCAAAGGAACGCTACAATCGCCGAACAATTGGTTTAGATTAAACCACTTTAGCAGATAGCGGCCATACAAACTGAAAGATCAAAATTAAGTTCTTGTATGGAAAACTTTTTATTTGTGAAGGGTATTACAGCTTCGGTGCAGTCGAAGTAAATGTCTTTACTTATAATAAATAAATTTGATTTTAGATATTCTGCGACATCACCTACTCGGTCACATCGTGCACCGAAAACGAGGCCACACGTTATGGTCGTTTTCTTTGCGCCATGTTGGAGACGGTAATGCGTTGGCATGCCGATCAAGCGGTCTTCAATAAAGAATGCGCCAACTACCCCGGTTTTGTTACGAAATTCCGTGTAAGCAATCAATTCTCCGAAGCGAACGATCATGTCGGCTATGAAAATTATCGTCATGTCTGTCATAAGTGGCATTATAAAATCACCAAAGCCATTGTATTCTGTTTGGACTCTAAAGACTATATGCAAATACGCAATGCGCTCATCATACTCATGCGTATACTACCACATTATCCTGTGCTCGCGAAATTGGCGCAAATTATCGAAAGGAAAGTAGAGAAAGTGCGTGAGGAGGAGAAGAATAAACGTCCCGATTTGTTTGTCATTGCCTCCAGCTACATTGGACAGCTGAAAACAAAAGCCGCGCAGATGATTAAAGAGAGCGATTTCCATCAAGTGACTGAGCGGCAGATGCGCGTTGAATCGGCAACGGCAGCGGCCACGGCTGCAGCGAACGCCGCCGCTATTGCACCAACGGCGAGTGGGGCCACACTAGCTAGTGTGACGGTGTTGGCAGCAAGCAATGGCGGCAGCGTTAATGCAAATGTCATTAACTTGGTCGATGCAGCGGCTAAAGCTGCGCAACTAACGGTGCAACAGACAAGCGCTGCGCAGCACGAAGCTACGTCCGTCGTGGCAAGACAAGTGAGCAACGGTGATGTGAAGAGTGGTGAGTTTTTATGCGCTGTTGCCAAAATATATAAATATATAATTTAACTATAACAATTTTTTTTAGCTGAAAAACGCGAGAAGGAAAAGGTAGTGAAGCAGATCATTAAAATGGAACGTGAACCAATAACAAGCCCTGCTTCAAATAACACAGTTAATGAGCTGGATACGCGTTCCACAACGATTTTGTTAAATGAACGCAATGAGCACGGCGAACGCCGCAGCAGCAGTCGCACCTTGAAGGATGTGAAGAAGGAAGAACGCACGCGAGAGCGTGAACGCGAACAACGAGAAAGAGAACGTGAAATACAAAGAGAACGCGAAAAGGAACGCGAACAGCGCGAAAGGGAACGTGAAAAAGAGCGTGAACAAAGAGAAAGGGAGCGTGAGTTGCGAGATTTGCGTGAACGCGAGCGTGAGCGTGAACATCGCAGTCATAACGATGAAATCGATTTAGCTGGTGGCGGTGTTGGTGGTGGTGCCACCATTGGTAGCAGTTCAACCGTTGGTAGTACTATGATTTCCACACGTTCCAAACGCGACAAGCGACGCGGCGAAGAGCGTTATCGGCTAGAGTCGCCGGCCTTGGAGCATATTGAAGTGCTGGAGGGTAAGCATGAGCATCACGAGTATGAACGTGAACGGGATAGAGAACGTGAGCGAGAGCGTGCCAGGGACTTAAGTTCAGTTTCGAATGAAAGCAATGGTTCTTCGATGCATCGACGCAGTCAGGATATTATTGAATATGATAAAGGTAAGTAAAAGAAAATGAAGAAAATGTGCCGATCCTATCATAGCGGCTCCACAAAAAACAATCTTTTCACACAAGAATTTGATTTTGAACGATCAGTTTATATGACAGCTATATGATATAGTGGTCTGTTCTGCAAAATATCTTGTGAGCTTTTAGCTTTGACTTGGGCAATAATCTATGTTAAATTTCGCGAAGATAGCTCAAATAATTTTTCTATGCAAGGACTTTTTTGGTTTCGATCAGTCAGCGATTTTCATGCAAAATAATTCATGCGAAAATTTCGTGAAAATATCTCGTCGAACAAAAAAGTTTTCCATACAAGCGAAATTTCAAATCGATATCTCAAAAACTGAGGTGCTAGTCCGTATCTCTACAGACGTAGATGACTAAGTCGAGTCATTTATATATATTATAGGGTCTGCGACGTTTTCTTTCGGGTGTTACAAACTTCGTGGCAAACTTAATATACCCTACTCAGTTTACAAAATAAAATGTTAGCGATTAATGTTCCTCTGGGTTAAGCGCTCTAATTGCGCACTAAGAACCATAAAATACACATAAAATCTCAGATACAATTTCTAACGTTTGAAATCGCTTTACAGATACCAAACGCCGCAAAGTGGAAGCCACGACGACCTCTTCGTCCAACTCAAAGGTTAGTATTTTGATGCAAACGTAGTTGCTAAGACAGAGAGGCGGCCTTTTTGTGGAGTGCAGCAGATGTGACAATGCCCAGCCATTTGACACTACAGTTATAAATAAAAATTTAAGCCAAAACAAAACAACAAATCGCAACTTAAACAACCACTGTGTAATGCTAACATTTTTATCAACTATAACAACAACAACAACAACAACAGCAATATTTTTGAACTGCTGCCAGTAGGGAAAGAAGTGAAAAAGGCGAAAAGGTGTTAACAAAAAAGTAAACAAGCATTTCAACGAAACTTAAAACAATAAAAAAAAATAATACAACAAAAAAACTGTCAATGAATTCAACAGCGTCAGCAAAAGATGTACGATTAAATCGACGAAACTCTTTTGACATCTTTTATAACATTGCAACAACAACTTAAAGTGATACACCATTCTATTTTTAGTAAGAAACACCACCGCGTACATATACACACCAGCGTGTCAAACACGCTGCGTCAAAACAAAGTTTACCAAAATGACTGTACTTATTTGTATGAAAACGAAAAGTTAATTAATTGCATTTAAATTGCTGCACAGAAGTATGTTGATGTTTTTTTTTTTTAAATAAGTAGCACGAATTTAATATGTAAAGAAGAAGCAGAAAAACTATAAACTCATATAAATTGAAATATTAAAAAATTTGAAATGAATGCAATTTTTGAAGAAAAAAATTAAAAAAAATTAATGTTAGAATTAAATATTTTTTTTTTATATACAAGAAATGCACTCGAATGTGATTAAAAATACCTGTATTTGAGCAAAAAATATAAAAACTGGTCAAATTTGTACTTAAGCACTTAAGCATAAGCTTTAGCTGTTAAGTTTAGGTAATTGTTAAATATTATGTAAATATATGTATGTGTGTGTCAGATAAGAACAATGAGCAACTCTACCTAAAACAACAGTGGGCTATTTGAAGGAAGAGCAACTAAACGGAACACAATTTAAACGCTAAGCAAATGATATGCGTGGGACCACAACAGTGCTTCACTTAATTATCTAAGATTCTATATACTTGGAGCTCACCTGGAACCATTTTATGTCAGCGGAAGATCATCATCAGAGCAGTTTACAAGCTAGCAGAGAAGAAAATACATCAAATACGACGCATTTTAGAGCTTGAATGACAACCGATGCGGCAATTATGAAGCATAATTTCAGCCTTCGTGACTATTTTGCATACTGGATATGCTGAAAGGAACATCCAGAACACTAATTCCTACTTTGAAGAAGACATACCTTGATAATCAACTAGACCCTGATGATAAAAACTGCAAGAATTAATCATTAATCAGCAATTGGAGACAGCTAGACAACGAGGGAGCAACAAACAACAGTTATCCAGAACAGCTTCGTTTTAAAACCCGCAAGATGAGTAGATAATCAACGCTAAACAATGTTTCAAATCTATCTAATGGAGACAGTGAACGAGAGAGGATGAACGATCGTGGACAATTCCTCCCGGGTCCGGAGCTCTCAAGGAGGTTCGGTGCTCTGCAATAATTTATATTGTAGTCTTACAAATTAATGGATTAGTGGGCCCGTAACTACTTCTCGGTCCCCGATTTTCGCTTTAAAGCCTTGAATTGAGAAGAAACCCTGTACATATCCAAAGCAACAACTATCGATTACTATTTTATAAGCGAGCATGCTCGGAGACATTCTTTACATCAGATGAGCGAAACAACGAACATCAACATATCTCTTCTTGGATCACAAAAGCAAGATTTTATTTTCACAACGCGCCTGCAATTCGCGCTTGTTTTAAAGTCTAAATTAGAAAATAGATATAGAAGATCAACAACTGAAGCTCAACATATTTCTACCACAACTGGCAGTTCACGGTTTATCCCGGCCAATTGGAGAGAAGACTCTGGCAACTTGACTCACATGCGAGATAGATATGCCTCTTCGATAGACGTCAATATAAGCAATGTTTACCAGAGTGACCAGCGATTGGGAATGCCAATTTCGGGATAGATTGCTGATTTCCATACAACAAGAACTACATTCATTATGGAACTTCACATAAATTTGAAGAATCTCACTACGTACCAACAAGTAATAAAGTGTACCACCTCTAGTACATCAACACAGCCTAACGGTTAAAACTTGAGAACTACCGCAACGTTATTTTTCTGCTTTCTCAGTGCATGGAATGTTCTGTTAAGTCTTTGCCATCTGTAAAGTGGACCGAAATTTCAAGATGCAACAATTCTTTGAAGACTAGAAGACGATTTTCTACTTTTGTGCCTCCAACATGTCTGCTTTAATGTTTGTACGCCAATAGTATGTTCGTTGAGACAACCATCAACTACGCCACAGCAGCCGAATTAAAATTCATTAAAAAATAAGTACACCTTAGCAAACAAAAAACATCTTCAAAGAGTATGGGTCGTCTAAACAACAAAACAAAAACAACCTCCTATCAAATAATAAATCCGTCGTGCGTTTTATGGAACTGAGATACCGTGAAAGTTCGATGCAAATCACTCGGTCACTGTTGAGCATAACCCAAGTATCATCAAATATATTCTAAACATTTCGAAGTGTCTTTCTCTCCGCTGCCTGCATACGTAATTCTTCTTGCGCAGTTTTGTTGTTAGTCGTTGGTTATAAGCGAGCTGCGGTGATCGAATGGTCGGTAAGTGGGTAGCGGGTGGGTGGAAGTTGTATTAAAAGAAAACTAATAGCAATTTGTGTGAGAGAGAGGGAGAGAGAGATAAAACAAAAATTACAAAAAAATACAAAAATGTAAAAGTTTAGTATATAAAGTTTTCACAAAAAAAAAAATTATATAACCAAAAATAGATATACAATATATTACTAACAATAAAAAAATATTAAAGAACAGTAAAACACTACACAACACAAAAATCAAGTCGTGTATGCGGAATTTTATGGAAATATGATATAATTTAATTTTGTCTAATTACAGAAGCAGATTACAGAAGATTTGATTGAGAGTACAAAGAAAGAACGCGCCATAAAGAATAAAGAACGTAAGGAAAAGCTAACCGAGGAGGAGAAAGATGCACGCAAAGAACGCAAATTGGGACGTAAACGTGAGCGACTCGAGGAGAATTCCAATGCAGAGCATAAGCGGCGAAGAGAAGGTAAATACTATATTAATCAAAAATATTTTTTAAACGTCAAACTCAAATACCGTTACTTTGTTGACTTTTTTCTAGTGCAAAACGGCGATGATGATTTGCGCGAGCGTGATAAATATCATACAAGGGTAAACACGCTACTTTTATTTCTACGATTTCAATTCAAAAATGAATTAATTATATAATTTAATACAAAATTTTGTAATTATAGGAAAAGTCACCACACTTGCGCAGCGAAACACGTGAACGTTCGCACGAGAAATTCGAACGCGATCGCAGCACACGTGAGGAGCGCTTATACACTTCGAAGTCTACACGCTCGCGCATTGGCTATTAGTGTGCAGACGGAACACGAGTTTTACAAATATTTGTTTTTAGATTTAAAATTGACAACAACTACCGCATTAGATACAGCAACCAATTCAATTAGTACTCTAAATATCCATTTTAATTTTATAAGAGCGCCAAAAAGAAAAAAAAAACGAAAAAATAACACAGCAACAAAAGCAACTCCAACTCAACCACAGCGAACATTTCATTTAATTATAAAATAATATTATACTACAATCTCTTTTAAGTTTTAAGTAAACTTTGTATGTATTCATGTAGTTTGACATTCAAGCTCGCAGCAATTTCAACAGCAAATAATAAAAGCCACCTATTCAGTTAATAAATAGTCCACTGTTGTAAGTTTTTTTGGTTTTATATAAATTGATAAAAACAAAAAGTGATTGTACAAAAACAAAAAAAAAATTTAAAATAAAACATAAAAAATAAATATTTATAGAAAATAAGAGCTGAGCGTTTACGCTTAACAATAAAGTAATAAATTTCGCAAGAAAATAATTTAGATATATAAATTAAACTACTGTGTTTGTATTTGCAACTGTGTAACGAATTTGCAGATTGAACTGCAAAGGTGAAAAGTGTATCTCATAACTATTATATCTTGCGAGACTACTAGTCGACATTTGGGAGTTCACAGGATAGATAAATATTTTAGGGCAAACTTTCTTGAAGAATTTTTCTTGCTGGAAGATGTGTCGAAAATCGACAGAAATCAATATTTCAAGTACACCAATTTGAGAAGAAACACTGGATATATATATCCAAAGCAATAGCTATCGACTACTATTTTATAAGAGGATAAAGAGGATATGCTCGGAGACATTGGATGACACATGAACATATGTATGAGAAGCTCTCTCCAGCTCTATAAATAATCTTCGTTATATTCGAAACTTCAGTGAATGCATGATTGACCTTAAATATTACTTTACCTACCAAACTCATAACGAGCTCATTTCCTAATTGCACGAAGTAATATAGACTGGGATAAAATATTTGATAACCAACCAAAATAAGTTGAAAATACTCAGGCATAGGATACAACAACAACTTTTCAAATTACACTGAGCCGATTTGACCCTACATACTATATACAAAACTAGATATTAGACCTGGATATTCGATAGATAGTCAAAACTGTTGAGCTCTACCTCTTCCAGTGTGTGATGTTTCGAGTTAAGAGCAGAACTTATGTGAATAGAAAAGCAGGATAAGGCTTCAGACGCCAGAATAATTCTCACGCAACACCGCTACACCCTTGCTGAACTTCAAACAAAACAAAAAAATACTGTCTTCTTTATTTCTATAACATCTCTAGAATATTGTCCTAAAGTCTCAAGTTAATACCAATAATCGAGGTTAGCTATATAATCACTTAAAACTTTAAACGCGTTTTTCTCAAAACTGTGTTTTCAAAGTCGGTTATCAAGATTTCTCTAATCTTAGTAGCTATTTTATCATAAAATAAGTATTGAAGGGCTAAGTTCGAGTGTAATCGAAGATTTTATACTCTAGGAGAAGTATTACGCTGACTTTCTGCATTTTAGGCAAGAGAATACATTGTTATTAGAAGCAGAATCTTTCTGAATTTCATTGAGATTTCTTACATATTGACCGATATATGAATATAAAACCAATCGGAAGTTCGAAAATATTTATATTAGATACATGGTGGCTAAGGGAACTATTGACGCCATTTTTGGCATCACAAAAATATTCTCAGCAAATTTCAATACTAGACCTCACAGATTGACCGACATGTTTAGTAAAAAATGTGCCATAAACACTAGGGTCCACATATTTTGTGTCATGGTCTTTGAAAAGTTATAATCCGATTTAGACAATTTTAGAGCATAAGATGAAATACCTTGCTGGCAGTATTTGAGCAAAGTTTAATTCTGATAATTTAATTGATGTTTGATTTGTATACTCTAAAGTGAAAGAATCCGATGGAGTTTCTTATATGGAAAGTGGGCATGGTTGCCATCCGATTTCGCCCATTTTCACAGTGTATGACGAATGTGTGGGTAACCTCACACACCAAATTTGGTGGCAATCGGTCAAGTAGTTTCTGAGATATAGGATTGCACCTAAAGGTGGGCGGTGCCACTCCCATTGTATAACTTTTACACCGCCTGATATTAAGCCCTACTCTACCATCCTGTCTGTGCAATTTAATGCTTGAGTCGGGCGCATTTATTCAGTGAGTTATCGCACTCTTTTAGTAGCTTTCAACATAACCTTTATATTATAAATTGAATTCTTCTCAACAAGTTGAATTGAGCTAGGTTCAGTGGTTTGGGAGATATGTACATTTAATCACTTAGGGGGCGAGGCCACGGCCGCTTTGAAAATTTTTTTCCAACCACAGTTGCCCCTCGCTACTGCGATCCTCTGTACTAAATAACAATTTTCTATCTGATTGTGGCATTTTATATGCTAGCGTTAAATAGCGTTTTCAGGGTGTGGCAGTATTCCGATTACGCCCATGTTCAATATCGACCTTGGGTGCAAAGAACATATGTATTTAGCAAGATTCATCAAGATATTTAAATTTTTACTCAAGTTATTGCTCGCACAGACAGACGGACGGACAGACAGACACCCGTATTTCAACGTGTCTCGTCATCATGATTATTTATATATGTATATAACTTTATATCTATTTAATTATTGGGTCTTGTGATATATGAATACGATATTAAACAAATTTAAAGATTCAGAATTAAATTCACTCACCTGTTGTACAGCAACCCACCTTCAAAAATAATATTTTCCAATTTTTTCAAAAGCCAATTAAGTTGAAAAAACTAAAAAAAAAAATAAAATTTAATACATTTTTTTCACCTTGAATAAAAAATACAAAAAAATAAATAAAATAAAAAAATAAAAAATATATTCTCAATGGAAAATTATAAAAAAAAATCTAACATACATTAAATACATCATTTTCCATATTTTTATTAATTTGTTGTAATTTTATTTGTTTTGTGTGCAAATAACAATTTTTGTCATACATTAGTTATTATTTTGTATTCTTTACTAATTTACCATTTGTGCTTTCTCGGCTTGCAACAATAGTATGCATACATACGACTATGTATATATATTATATTATTATTTTTTTTTGTATTTAAACTACATAGCTTTGGTATTCAGTATATTTATTCAAACCACATTTTCTACTATGTTTGTTTATTTCTTTACGCGGTACACATTTGTGGGAATTCATATTAGTAGAAAGAACAATCGATTTGTCGATGTATAACTTCGTACAATGCGCCAATTTGCCACCACTAGATATAATTTCAATAAAAAGGTATAACCGGATGAAAAAAATTTAGGATTGCAAACGGTATCTGAAGAAAATTCTAACGATTTCGTTTTCCAAATTATGTCCAAAATTTTAAAATTTAATATGCACTTAAAGTCGATAAAAGATAAGAGTTCAACGTTTTTTACTAGGGTAAGTATCTGACATCATTGCCACTCTGATCTGCGTTTTGTACCCTTATTTTATCATGGTTGGGACTTTTATAAGTGAATTTGATTTCCGAAAATAATATGGGTGAACAATAACTGTAGTTACTTAATTTTCTTTGTTGAATAACACTAACACCTCTAATAAGAAGTGAAATTGTTATTGTCGTTTTAATCATTCTGGGATTATGTAGAATTCACAGCCCTAGGCCGGATGAAAAAGTCTCTGAAAGTTTTTCGCGCCACTGCCTTAAGTTTTTGGGTGCCACTGTCTTAATTCAAAATAAAGTTTCTGAAAGCTTGTCGTGCACTTAATGAAAAAATGTTTGGGAATCACTGTTTTTATTAAAAAAAAATCTGTAAGTTTGTTGCGCACTTAATCGAAATTGTTTGTGAAACCCTCTCTTAATTAAAAAGAGTTTCAGAAAATTGTCGCGCACTTAATGTGAATTTTTTTGTGAGCCACTGTCTTAATTAACAATAAGACTGTGAGTAAAGCAGACAATACATTAATGTTTCTGGGTGTTTATACAAAACTACCTGCTGCTATTTTGGCGTATGAAATTGTTACTAAGTATTTTATTAAAATTAAACTCATGACATTACATATGAAATTTAGTGTACCGCTATTATTGCAACTTATGCAACTTATATTTTTATTTAATAATTAATTACACTGTCACCGAGAAAATATACCTTCTCTTTGATATTTAACACAGATATTTTAGATTTGATCAAATGGTAAAACTGCGTATGCAGAATTTAGCATTCTCTACAAAAATCGAAATTACAACAAAATTTATTTGTCCATAGCCGAAAACAATTTTCAAGCAACAACTGAATTCGAATATGCTTAGAGCTTTAAATTTGTATAAACTTTTTTTTTCTGTCGCGTTATGTTGATAATATTTAATTCGTTTCTATAATCTATAATAAAACTAATTTTATGAAATAATATTTATAACATATTTTGCTACAATTTTCTACTATTTTTTTGCTATTTTTTTATTCACTAAGTTGTTTTGCGTCTAAATGCTGTATTCGCTTTGAATTTTAATATTGCGTTATTTTAATTATTATTAAATTATTTTTATATTTATTTGTTTTCCATAAATGTTCATCCAAAACTTACTTGTTTATAATTATTTTATAAAAAATTTCAATCTAAGGCAACTTTTAACATTGATATGAGTAGTTTTCCAATTTATGCTTGATTATGTTTGTATGTATGTATGCAAGTACGATTATGTATCATTTGCTGATTATGATTGGGATTTCGTGCAGGCGTTTAACACTAACAACATTATAATGATTTTGAATGCGTGCAGTTTTGGTGGGCAGTGGAAATGCAGACTTCAGTGTTAGAGGTGCTGTTATAAGAGGTGGAGCTGTTCATAATGGAATTTTGTATTTTAGCAAATTTATTTTAAGAATTTGAAAAATAAAGTAAAATAATTTGTATAGTTTAATCTATACTAAAATAAAGCTGGAATTTGCTGATTTTTTTCCATTTATGAGCTGGTGTTACGCATACGCACTGTTGACCAGAATAGTACGTTTAAATGCATTTCTAAAGAAATAACATTTACAAATATGTATGTGGCGTTAAAAATTATTATTTTATCTAACGGAACTTCTACATATTTTTTTTGTATTTTATTTGTAAAAAATTATTATTTTTTTGTGAGATTTGAATCAAAATCAATCTACTTTAGTTGGAGATGATAGTAAATAGTGATGAATAAAGAGTTTCGTGTGAATTACAAGCAGATAACCTACAGAATAATAAACTTGCTTAAATATACGTACAATTGAACGTTTTTTAGTTAGTGACCCCTATACTTCTATATATAAGCTACTCCAGAAAGTTAATCGATTCTTCGAAGACGGTTTTTAGCATAGTTATGGATGATAAAAGATTGACTTCTGTTGAAAAAAAAAATATTACATGCTTTATAATCAATTGGTATACTAAAATTTTAACTAAATGACGTCATAATGACAGACTAATGGTGAAAAAAAAATTCTAATCTTAAAAAGCTCCTGGAAAGTCGTAGACAAAACGCCATTATTGGATATGATCGATTCTAATAAGATCATTTGACTAACCAGAAATAATCAACATTGTCACTAAAGCCGGATTTTCTCAACGAGAGGTTTTTATTTTCGGGATTATATCAGTTTCGGGATTATATATTATCTTGCAGCGCTATTCTCAATAACATAAACGTTTTTTAATTCTCAAAAATCGATTTTCTTTAGCCTGTCACACAAGGTATGCTACTTAAGGGTTAACTGAAAAACTTGAAGAATACTTCCTCTGCCTTCAGTTAGTTCTAAATTATTAAGTAGATATAATAATAACACAAATATTACCCTTATACGAGTGAGTAAGGAATATGCGTAGCTCACCTTATTCAATAAAAATGTGTTAGTTATCCATTTGAAGTTACTCTAGCTACTTTGTGATTGCTGCATTTGTGTGATTGAAGTTGCGCTGATTGCTTGAGCTTCGGTTTAGTGGTGATTGTGATATGTTTAACGAGTTGAATGTGCGTAGATTTGTGAGTGAGTGAGTTATAAATGCGTATGTGCTTAACCATATTTGATATGTATGTATGTGTGCATGTATGAATGATTAGATAAGAACCGCTATGTCGGTTATTTCTCATATGAGATCAATTTCTATACTGTTTTCGTTTAATAATTCATTTTGCTTAATTATGTACCGTTATACCATAGATACAACATTTTGATGGGGTTTAACATGTATATACATATATGCTTAACCCATTATACTAGTCGATGCATAACTGCCACTTATTAGGGGTTCACGTGAATTGACGGATGTATTGGATGGATCCAAATGATGTGCCTCACTGGAGGAGAGTGTAAATTCCGTCGACGTTTCGACAGAGTCATGTTGACTTTGTGTCTGTTCATGACGACGCGGTTTGGCGATGATCATGGCATCTTTGCCACCTGGCGTGACACCATCGGTATGAGATGCTGGATAGCTGGAGACACGTTTAAGCGACTGAAGAATGTGCAGGAGCATAGAAAAAGAAAAAAATGCGTATTAATTTATTAGTATAAATTATTATAAATATACAAATGTTTAGTAGTAATTATGATAAAGAAATAGCCTGTGCCAATTGTAGGAATAACGTTGGTCTGTCGATTGAAATTAGTATACGATTTTTAACAAATGTATTTATAATATATATCTAGTATAATTTAGAAAACAAAAATATATAGATATGTTATCAATTTGAAACATTTAACAAAAAAGTCTATATATGCTATACTTCTAACTGGGGCGGCAATCATTACACATTTTTGTGGTAGCCGTCAAAAAAAATTATTTATTTTCTGAGTTTGGTGAATAAAAAATATAGTTATTATTTTATATTTAAAAAAATAAGAAGCTTTAATCTTTTAAGCTGCCTTTAAACTGTTGATGAATTTAATGAGATGCATAAAATTGTCAAAAATATACTTAGAAGCCTACTACTTAACCTCGATTGCTAGACAAAAATCTACGTCGAAAAGAATTTTTCCCTAATAATTTTCGCCGATTTACGGGTGTTAGTAAATCTCCTAAAAATGTTTGAGGCGTCTTAGAACTTGTATTAGCCTCCATTTTTCAAGTAACATTTCGCAAACAGGAGAAGAAGAAGCTCTGACAAGAAATTTTCTGTAAGCAAAGTAGATAAGATTTGCTTGAATGGAACCCACTTACAGAATATTGGAAGAATACCGTCTGTTGAAAAAAAAAGCCACAAAACTCGTAAAATTTGGCACATGTACATTTTTTATAGCATAAAAGTGTATAAAAAGGTCTTTATTTATTTTTTTTTTTTGGGTCAGTTTATTGAAAACTATATATTATATTATAGTTGCCCGACCTGAACAATCTTTTTAGAGATTTTTGCGTCGCCTTAAACAATAATCGATGCCAAATTTCTTGAAGGTAAGTCCGAGATCGGCGATTCCAACAAATGAGTAGCTTCTTGGAAAGAAAAGAACGTGTGAAAAATTTCAGATAGATATATTAAAAACTGGCGAACTAGTTTGTCTAGAAATCGTCTCAGCTCAGCATGATCATTTATATATATATACTTCATAGGGTCTCCCACGTTTCCTTCTGGGTGTTACAAACGTCGTGGTAAACTTAATACACTCTGTTCAGTTTATTTAAGAACCTAACCTTACTTTATCTGGTTGACAGCTTCTAACGAGTTTAAGAAGAAGTTCAATATTGAATCTTCAAAGCTTAGCTTAGTATTACTCTCAAAATTTGACTTTTTGTTAAATTCCACGTGTCTTTCGAACAATTTTCGGCATTCTTTAGGCTATTATCAGAGAATGTAGATTATATTATATATCTACTAGAGAATGTAGATTTCATAACTACATTGTCTGCTAATATATTTGTAATTTGTTTAATTTTCTAACCAAATTTATGGTCATAAAAAACTATCTTCCTTGTTCCACTCAGAAAATAACAAATTTAGCAAAATAATAAATAATAATTTCGAAACTCTATTAGTTTATGAACTAGTAAATAATGATTGCTGTCCGCCCCTTTGCAACTACAAATAAAGTCAACTAGGTAAATTAACAACACTATAGGCACATACGACTTTATGTGCTGCTTTCGTCCGGTTCGTTCGTTTGGTTATACGAGTACAGTTGCTCCAATACTATCTAGTAGAAATATACAAAACCTTGTCGTTCAATGCTGCCTCGGCTCCATTGGCAGTGGACATGGATTCGTTAACGGGGCAAATATTTTTGCTTGATGAGAACTTCTTGCGTTTCTTTTTCAAAGCGGCTATGGCAGTTAGGCCTGTTGATTTAATTAAATTTAAATACAATTTATTACATTTTTAATATTAATAATATTAATGGGTTTGCTATATACTTACCGGTTGTTGTATGAAAGAAGTGTGATGCGCCGCCCCCGTTGCTGCTGACACTGTTACCGCTACCGCTATTCAAGCTGCTGCTGTGTTCCTTCATAAATGTGCCGGCATGCAGTGGATTGTGTGTTGGTGTGTGGTTGTTGACATGACGATTGCCAGCAGTCGTTTCACCATTGGGTATATAATGCTGTGCGGAGTTCTGCGCGTATGTGACATGCACTTGACCATGAACTGGCGATGAGTTGGCAGAAGAATTGCAGACCGAATCTTCAGATTTTGAGCGGCCCAACATTTTCGAGACATTTCCCACCTTAGCGGCCTCGATTAGTGTGCCTGAGAATTGCAAGAAAAAAATTGGTTATGTTATTAAAAATTTAGTATTATTTATCATAGGGTGTAGGTAAAATGGTGTAGGGTGTGGATAAAATAAATACAACCACCTCAAAGCAGAGTTTTGCTGAACGAAGTCTGTTGTTACCTCGACATTCGAGTTTATGTACAGAATAGCACTGGATTTATATATGGCAAAGATATTTCATTCAATGACATAACCCACAATTAATTTGAAAATATATTTTTGCTAAATCAACAACAACAACAATAATTTAACGAAGCCTTTCTCAAAGCAGTAACGAATAGATATGCGGCTTCCGGAGCTGAGATTTTATCCCAGAAGATAGGCTAGTCAATTCATATGAGGCCGCAGGTGGTTATGGAACGCAGCATAATCGGTGGACAATCAGATATATGGCCTGTTAGAAAAATGTAAGTCCTTTCTAGCCAATAAGAAAAAAAAGCCTTGTACTGATCTTATTTATTCCGCTTTAACCATTAGATAAACATTGGTTGAGAAAAAGACCAGCTTGGTCCAAAATTAAAATTGTTCTTTTACTAAGTCAGCACTTTCAGAATAATAATATAATAAGAAAAGTGCAAACCCAAATTGTTCAGTTTGCCTTAGAGCTATTAATTTAAGTAACTTGTCTACTGTCTGAATACAAATATTTCTATAAGTTTGAATGTTCAATTTCAGCTCACCCCAGCGCTTTTTGTGACCCGCGATGCGTTTGTTGTGCGGTTTCAATGCTGATTTATTGTATTTTGTTGTTGTTTGTATTGTAGTTGTTGTTGTTGTAGTAGAGCCATTTGTAGGTGATTCCTTGCCGCTCGTATGACCATTCTGTTGATTCTTCTGTATAAAATTTGAATTGAAAAGATTCGAGAGCGTAGAGCTGAGTATTTCGTGTTGTGAGTCGAAATTGTCTAACGAGGTGGAAAATTCGGCAACCGGCGCTAGCGAACCTGTCGAACCGGGTGGAGCAATGTTGAAGCCTTTCATAAGACGCCGCTCCTTTTGGCGATTTTTTTTGCCGCCACCACCTGTAGGGAGCAGAAGAACGAAATGCAGGTATTACAAGACTATAAATTTTGTAAGCCACCACCTACCGCCTTGTCCTGCTGTCACATTTGTATCCATGCCGCTATTCTTCAATATCTCCACCAATTCACAACGGAATGCAGATATATCCTGCTTAATTTCGTTCACATCATCTTCGGTGACACCCTGTGACTCGGCTTTGCGTTGCTCCACAGTCACATAACGACGCACCAAGTTACGCATTATTTGCTGGAAGAATTTAGTGGAGGTATTAAATAAATATTATATTCTATAGTATTTAAGCCTTTTTTTAAGAAAATACCTGATATTTGAAATCGCGATCACTCGCCTGTTGAGCTTTGCGCTAATAAAGTAGAGAAATTGTAATTTTTTCAATATCAATATATTTATTCATAGTCTTTATCTTGTGCTTACTCTTATTGTCTTCAGATGCTCTCGTCTGGCCGCCGACGATCCACTGCAGAATACTCTACGCGCCCACTTGAACACATACCATATTGATTTCGGTGTCGGTATAATATTAAATGGCGGTGGACAGGTACCACCTTCTTCGAAATAACTTATCCATAATTTAGAACGCGCAAATTTCCATTCGACATCAGCGCGCTCCTAAAAGGTGTGAAAGAAAATATGCATAAGAAAAAACGTTAACTTTGGGTGCACCGAAGCTATAATTCCCTAAACAAATACAAAAGATTCCATACAAGAACTTGATTTTGATCTTTCAGTTTGTATGGCAGCTATTTGCTATAGTGGTCCGATTTCTTCGGTAATTGTACCGTTATTTTGGAAAAAAACAAATATTTAAATGAAAAAGTTTCCCCTACAAAGACTTGATTCCGATCGTTCTGACCGTTCTTCGGAGGTTGTGCCGTTGCTTTGAAAAATTATATTACCAAAATTCGTGAAGATATCTCTTCAAATGAAAAAAGTTTCCCATACAAGGACTTGATTGCAGTCGTTCAGTTTGCGTTACAGTTATATGATATAGTGGACCGATATCGGCGGTTCCGACAAATGAGCGGTTTCTAGAGAAATAAAGAAAGAGTGCAAAATTTTGGATCGAACTGAGGGACTAGTTCGGGTATATACAGACAGACGGACGTACATGCCTAAATCGATGCCGCCGCCCGTGACTTTCTATTCCTTAAATATATAATTGTCCAAAGTTTGTTTCTTGGTTACAGATTTTATAAGCAAACCTCCAAAAAGCTTACCGAGATTAGTTGATACGAATGATTCATCATTGCGATGAGCAAATTTAGCAGCACAACTATGTTTATAACCGAATATGTGCCGAACATTAGCATGCCCCAAAAGCGCGTGAAAATCTTAATACCATCCAACTCAAAGCTATCCAAATCGATCAAACCAAAAACTGCCCAGAAGAGGGTCTGAGTGGTCTCGAACAGGCTGTAAAGTGATACAGAATTATGATATAGAATTACTTTACTAAGAATCATTTTCGAATTCCACATTCTATATACTTTGAAAATCGACGCCAAACAATGCAAGCGTTTGGATCCGTGGTGCCGTTCATGGTGATGAGCACATTTGAGGGGGACACTTCTGGACAACGTTTCTTCTCCAAATCGGCATAATACCTGTAAATAACGATGTTGTTATAATATGATAATAAATGTGGATTATTTTGCTACGCTTTAGCCGTACACTTACCACAACAGCTGATTTAAGCCACTGCCAAAGGCGAATAAAACGAGCACGTACAAAAAGAAAAACTTCATGATATCCATAACCATACGCGACAGGGACACTTGCAGTGGTCCCAAATGTGGATTCACCGAAAAGATGTATACCAATTTGAGGCTACTGAAAATGTTTGCCGCACTAAAGAGGCCTTCCGATATGAGCATTGGATCCCAGGTGTCCCAACGCTCACGCGGCAAATCAGTGGCATTCGGATTAGTGATCATTTCTTTTTGCACCTGTGAGAGCGGGAGTGTAAACATGTATAATTTATAAGAAATTAAACACAGATAGAAAGTAAAGTCAAACAACCTGAAAGAAAGACACCACACGCAATGCAACTGTGGCCACATAAAGTGAATTCGTTACGAAATCGATGACATTCCACATATCGTTGAGATACTCTTGTAGACCAACATCCCATAGCTGCTTCACTTCGCTCCAAATGAGACCTGAAACCCACGCCAGTATTAGCCACTCGATAAAAGTCGGTTTTGCGCCACGCTTTGTCGGCACTTCTTCCACCTCGGCGATTATGTTCTTCGAATCACTCCAAAACCAGCCACCAATAAAAGTCTCAATGCGCTGTGAAGCGAGCATCAGTAGAACTGTATTTATATGGAAGTACAGGGTTCTTTAAAATATTTGGCTTTCTTTATTCGATCGTACTTACATAGAAATGTAAAGTAAGAGGCACTATGGCATATAAATTTTATAAATGGTTTGCGCATTGTCTGTCCAATACTAGAATATGGTGCCAAGATGTAAGCCAATGAGAAAATCGGAAACATTATGCCTGCAATGATTTAAGAGGGTGATGTAAAAATTACGGGGTTCAGAACTGTTGAATCAACAATGAAATATAATAGAAAATATTATATATACCGATTCTTATAATATCCAATGCCTGCAGTGCCATATTTTTGCGTCGAAATCCCGGCAGACCCTCGTACCAAATGCTCGCTAAGAGCTGTTGCACATTGGAGTGTGCCACAAACTACACCATACATTTAATAATATTAAGTAAAGCATAAAAAGTAAGTAAAATTGTCAATACGCACCTTTTTCTGTCGCAATTTGATTGCCAATTTCAAGCGGTTTAAATGCATACGCTCGCCATGTTCATAGATTGGCCCGGTGGGATCATGATTTAGTAGGATTTCCAATTCGTGTGAGGTGCGTGTGTGATCAAGCAAAGCGGTGGCAAAGTCTTGGCATTGTTTGCGCAATTCCTGATATTCATTCTGAAAAAACAAAGAGGCATGAACTTTGCTTCAAAAAGATGCTTACAGAAGTTTGCCTCTGTATTTGGTATTAAGTGTTAAGCTCATATATTTTTCGTCTCCTGAAGCATTTACCTTAAATTCGTGTTCGAGGAAACTTAAACGTCTCAATTCCCATGACAATTCAAATGCAGTTAAAATAGGATCCTTCGATGACAATGCTATAAGACTGGGACTGGCCAGCGAACGATAAGCGTTAATGCGTGAACGTGAGTGTCGCAGTGAATCCTCTTGGCGTGATTGAACACATTCGTCGCAGCCGCATCTGTAAGGTATTTTATTTTTCCAACGCATTATTATTTTGTAATTTTATTTAAATTATTTATAATTCTCAACAGCTTTAAGAACAATGTAAGAAATGAGCAATTTCAATGAAGCAACAGAAATTGGGAAATGTAATACTATGACACATTCGAGAAGCTCTCGCGATATTCCTAGGTTGCAGTTTTGCCTCAAGCAAGATATTGCTTAGATAATAGTCATTCTTCTTATATGGAGTCATGCAAGCCTCGATGAGTAGAATATGTGTTGGTGATAATACCATGAGTAGTATCCTGCCAAACTCCGAAGTGCATTCTTCAGTTGTCCGAAGCTTCTTCATCTGGATGGTTTATGACCGAGCAGCCTATTGCTATGAAAATTGCCAACACCGTTCTTTGTCCTACACCAAAGTGCCGTCGCCCAGTTTGAGAGGTTTGCTGTGGAAGTGATGCGGGCTGTTTTTTGTGGTTAACCCGCGATATCTTATTATCTTCGGCTTAGATGTTGGAATCGACCGTTTCTTTAATAAAAAAGGGACGTCTGGACTACTTAGAACAGAAGGTGTAGGAAAGGTAAATATATGATTTTAGACCTTGTGGTGAGAGTGAAAATCGTTACCGTCTCGACAGTAACATGATTTAAATTGAAGATAGAGAAGTTGCCAGGTTTCGGTAGTCCGACAACTTTTTCAGGTTCGGCTTAAGCTGGTGTATAGATTTGAAAGCTTTTACCCTACCGGTGATAACTTTAGAGAGTTTTAACTTAATCTCATATCACCGTTTATGCACAGGTAATTTTATACTCCAAGCATATATCAAAGGAAGTTTTGCAGCAAGGTCAATATCAACGTTAATTCATGAAAGATTACATATGAGTGATAAAGAATGCAATTTAAAAAAAATAGTAGTTTATGCATTTTCAAAATAAATAAAAAACGTTACCACTTTTAACTAGTTCGTTAACTTCGTTTGAAAAATAAAGAGACTTTCGGTCCATATTCTATAAGATTAATAAGTATATTATACACACCTTACGTCATGCGGCATTGGCAGTACAGCTCCGCGATCTAGTAAAATTTTGATTATCTCATAGTTATCACGATGTGCGGCCAAAATAAGTGGCGTTATATCTGGAGTAAATGTTGAAGTATCCTCCGATTGAGATTCCCAGCTCTACAAGCAGATATTGTGAGTGTTTTAATATTTATAGCTCTTCAATTATCACAAAAGAACTTACATGGTTACCCTCCGTATGAAAGCTGACATTTTCATGATCCAAAAGCACCTCCACAGCCTCCACAAACTCCTCTGAAATGGAGTGCAAAAGCGCATCCTTCGTATCAACATTATAACTGATGAGCAATTCGACCATTTCCAAATTTTCGTTATCGATAGCCATGAGTAGGGCAGTGCGTCCCAAAGGATCGACACAATTCACATTGATATAGTCGGTATCCTGCGCTTTTTGTAGCATTCTAAAGGCCGAAAAAGTGTACATAAGAGTTTTCGTAAAATAAATGTGTATGTATATATGTACATTAGGGTAAGCCAGAAAAAAACATAGCACTTTAATGGGTTGAAATTAAACTTTTTGCTGAAAGAAATATCCCTACAAGGCAGAATTTTTAGCTTAAATTTTAAAGGTGATGGTTATTTTTTATTAAAACTACCATAACTTTTGAATAAAAAATTTACATTGCGGACATTTGTAAAGTATAAAATTTTCTAAACAACTTTTCTCAGGGAAAGAAGGACGTGCAGTTTCCTCAGGGAAATTTTTTCAATTCAAAAATTTGTATATTTTAAAGCTTTGAAAAGTGAAAAAATTCAACATATAATTATTATTTTATTTATCGTCGTATGAATTTCGTTATAACTATATTCGTGTGGTTTGCCATGAGATGACGTAGCTTCATTCAAAAATTCGTATATTTAAAAGCTTTCAATATTTAATATATATAATATAAAATCAAAATATATTTAAAACCTTAATCTATTTTTTTGTTAATTTCAACCCATAAACTCAATATTATTATTTTTTTGGCTCACCTTAATGTGCCATCTATGGTTAGAATGTATACATTATACTGTTTATATACTCGATTATATGACGAATTAGTCGATTTACCTTCGTGTTCCTGCCATATCACCGCGCTCTACCGCCAGCAAAAACTTCTTTTCCTCCAAGGTTAACTGACGGATCTCCTGATGTGGCCGCACTATGTTCTCCTCCTCCATCATGCCGTGTATGCTGTGACGCTGTGAAATATTGCCATCATTTTATGGTTACTCAATTCATAAACTCAAGGCCAAATGCGCTTGAAATTATTAAAAACAAACAACATGCCAGCACATATGTTTACACGGAAATAACAGTACATATATGTTTAAATACATATGTAAATATAATATGTACACACATATGTATGTATGTGGGGAGTGCATGTTTGTTTATTTTTAATGTTCGACATTTGTTTGATGTTGCATTTAGCACGATTTCGCACGTGCTTCGGCGCTTGTTTGACACATGTGCTTATTTAATTTTCTATAATACATACATACTTATGTATGTACGTAGATATGTACAATACATATATATTTATATTTATAAATAAATTCGCACACACACTCACCTTGACCTTTTTAGCCGGTTCAATTTGTACGGTCACATGACTGTTATCACTGGTGCCACTACTCAAAAGGCCGCCAATCCCGTTATTGCCCCCACTACCACCGCCACCTGTACCGCCGAGCCCACCAATGCCACCGTTACCCTTTTTCTCAGCATCCAGTGCATCGGTACCATTCTTTATTTTATTCAAAATTGGCGCCAGTACTGATTTTCTACGCGCCGGACTCACAAAATGCAGCTTTTTTCCTTCGTCTGCGGATAAAAATTAATGGGAAATTAAATATAAATTAATTATTATATATTGCTTTATATAATATTATTTATATTATATTTTTTCTAAATCAAAGAGATGAGTATTCTACCAAATATTACAATCTTTCGCTTAAGTGCTAGAGCATTTTTTTGTTTTTTGATTCAAGGAAGACGAGGATGATCCGATAAATACTTAATATACTTATTACATGCGAATCTGATCCGAAGAAGAAGGACTGTCTTATTAGCCGGATCACAGTTTTCCGTGATGCACAAGCTGTAATCTATATCGACTATCTGGAGAACGGCGAAACCATCACAAGGCTCTATTATGCCGAATTATTGAGTCCATTCGAATAGTAGAAGTAAAAGTAGTCCTTTTGGTAAAGAAAAGAATAACCTTTTAATTTTAGGCTAAGCACTTCTCGGATTATCCTCGTATATGAGTAAATGGGAATACTTTTCTACGGCGGCACAAATTTATAAACGAAGTAACGACTGCATAACAATAACTCCAATTTATAATAAATTTAGTTCCATAAGTGTTTGACTCGGCAGCCCGAGTTCTATAGGTTAGTGGACCTTAACCCGATCTCAATTTCAAAAGTTCCTTTGAAATCAGTCGCATATATGTGATCAAATCATTTATCAAAGTAGCACTTTTTACTAAGTGGGATTCTTCGTTGGATATCAAAGCTGACTTTTTTCAGTGTTAACGACAGCTCCAAGATAGATGGAATTGTCTAAAACTTCGGACATTCGAGCAACCGAAATGTGTTCGCTTCAAAGAAATTATGAGAGGCAAATAATGATTATCAACTCATACATATAGTAAAGATAATATCTCGGATTATAAAAATTGAATATTGATAGGTTTTAAGAGACAACGATGGAACTCTAGTAAGCGAGGAGTATGAGCAAAAAAAATTAGTAACGGCTTACGAAGAAAATTAAATAATGATTTACACGAAAGACTCTCTTTAACTTAAAGGGCCCCTTTACGAAATATAAAGTAGTAGAAGAAGTACTGATATTTTCATTGAAAATTATTAGTCATACATACAAATTTAGTTAGAGAAGACACTGCTTATGACATAGGATTAGGAAGACATGCATAATTTCAGTACTTTACCAGCTCAGTTATACAAGTTTTAAAGCTGCCTGCTTAAGTTAGACACTTTATATATTCGTCGATATAGACAGATTGTATTTTAACACTTTTGTAGACATCTGTTGGAAAAGAGATCATAACAATAATAAAAAGTAAGGTTAAATCAGGAAAAAGGTTTCAAAAGATAGTTGAAAGGAACAACAAAAAATGTAAATGAATATTAAAACATGAACATAAATAAAAACATAATCCATACACAACTTCGCAGTAAAAAAAAAATACAAATAATATATTAAATATACTTAATATAATATTATTTAAAAAACAATAATATAATCATTTGACTTTGAAAATCTACCAAAACAAGCCACTTTTCATATGATATATCAAGATTGTAATAACACCACTCAAATGCGAAAACAATACCAAGAACTCTACTAGATAACAAGGACACAAATCTTCAATCAGCTTGAACTATGCCTATGACCATGGGTCACCTTGACGAATTTCTGTGCAAAACATATTTGTTTTGATTCTACAAAATTATGTAAATATAAATTTTAATTAATTTATTATTAAAAAAAATATTACTATGTATTGAATTACCTTAGACGTAAGTGCATATGTCCTTATGTCTTATTGGAAGCCTATAGTCAGAGAATTGTCAACAAAACCCACAAAATACTAGGTTTAACGGTCTAAACGACGCTATGCATACTCGTACTTTGCGCATTTGCCTATCACATCGATAGTCAATAACAACAACCACACGGTCATATACCGAAATCCATCTGTGCAAGTATATGTGTGTACGAGTAAGTATGCATGTGTGAGTAAGAAGGATTGTTTATGTTTTGCCATTGCGCTATCGTCAATGCACCCCAACATGGCGAAAGTTTGAAAATCTGGGTCAATTGTTGCATTCTTGTAGTGTTACCGTTCGTTATGTGTGGAAAGTGTGTCAGTTTTTGGCATTTAATTTGAAATGGCATTGAGTTGGTTACTCGATAAATGCGGCACAATGCAAAAATGACCTTTGACTTTAATATTTTTTAATGCGTTCGTAACGAACATGTGGAAAGAGAAGAGGAAAATATTCGAATTATACATATGTGTTTGTGCATGTGTGGAAGAGTGTTTTGGAACGCAGCAAAAAGCTGAAGAAGATTAATGATTGTCGTTAAGTTAAAAAGGAATAGTAGAAAGGGAAAAGAGAGGGAGACAATTTTTCTTTAAGAATGTTGAATTTGCTAGATTAATAGGTAATACTTGTAATTCGTCCAACCTCCGGGGCTAAAAAGAATTTCGCTCACGCACACTTCATATTTTCCTTCATATATTTTCGACATAACCTTCTCAGTGATTTGAGTCGTATCCACGGTGGATTCTTGTCAACTGTTATCAGCTACTTATTCCCTCGAATTAATAATATTAATCATCTAATCAAAATTGTCGCGAACTGACAAAAAAAACCACATTTTCGTATTTAAACACATCATCACCTTTAAAATAGGCCAGGTCTTGAACCAATACAAGCATGCCAACACTTGTTATAAGGCTCGGCTGAGCCTTCAGCGAATTTTGATTTTCTCTGTTTCGGCTAATTTTTGAAGCGCGATTCGCAAGATTTTTAGACGGTTTCGACATAAACGTGAGACCATTTTATAGCAGTTTTTGACTCTGTTGAAGTGCAATCCGCAGATTTTTATGTCGTTTCAAGGCTGTCGACGAAACATGGATCCACTGGTACATATCAGAGCCCAAGAAACAGTAGACATAGTGGACAGAACCGGGCAACCTTCTTCGAAAAAGGTGAATACTGTTCTATTGGCCATAACGGCTGAGATTATTAAGGTGGGACCTATATCGATACTATCGCGGAAAAGGAAAAAACGAACGGGATCTAAGCCGAACTATTAACAAATAAGAAAAAAAGAAAAATATTTGGTGAGGAAAAAAGCGCTTTCACACCATGACATCTCCTTCGTTACCACGGCCAAATAGATAAAATTGATGTAAGAACAGCAGCTCCATCCACCGTATACTCCAGATTTAATCCCAAACGACTTCTTTTTACTTTCAAGCTTGAAAAAGCCTCTCCGAGCAAAAATTTGAGTTGAATGAGGAGATTATCGCCGACATCGAGATTTACTTTACAGATTTCTAGAAAACGTACTCAGACAGGTTAAAGAAGTCTGGAGTGAATGTTGAAATCATATCTCATCCAGTATTTATTACAAAGTTCCAAACATTGCTCAAAATCATCAGTTCGCGGTTCGGGTCGATTGTGAGCTCGCGTGTCATAGTACGTTTCTTGAATGGCTTTAGTGTGTGAAATTTAGCACTTATCCTTTTCACACCAAAAAGCTTGTTATTTGTTAGAACCGTCGATATCGGATCACTATAGCATTTAGCTGCCATACAAACTGATCGATCAAAATCCAGTGCTTGTTAGAAAATATTTTTATTCGACAAGATATCTTCACACAATGTGACATCGAATATTGTCTAAGACACCGTTATAATATCCCAAAAAATTTTCCACATCGGACCACTTGGAATGGTATTATAGCTTCGGTGTAGACGAAGTAAATTTTTTTCTTTTTATGTTATACTAGTTGGTAAAGGATGCTCTGAGGATAAGCTAATAATGAATGTTTAGTAAGCATATCCCACTCGGGTGCACATCACACTCATTTATATTTATGGTATATATTGGCATATTCAATGAAAATTAGTCGCTGCTCTTTGGAAATTATTAATGAATGCTTCCAGTTCACCTAAATATAGCAATAAATGAAAATAAATGTTCGTGAAAGTGAGAATATTTCAGCATTAAATAGCTACCAATAACTGTAATTAGTTGCAGTCAAAATACTTAATATATTTTTTGTATGAATATACTGCTACAAATACCCTAGCAATTACGGTCCCTATACCCACCCCATTTTGAACCTACCAAAGCTATGAGCTAGGGTGAAGTACACGCTTGCACGCAACCATCTCGTGCAATATTTATAAGTAATTTACTATTTTGCTGGCCACTGACGGGTGCATTGAACTCAACGAGTATAGCACCTTCAAGTGAGATATCGGTCGTATCGTGTCGAGCCGAGTTCAAATCCTCTTTAGCCATCCGTGCCGTTACCTCCGACACATGGCGAACGGTTGAGGCAGGTCGCGCGATAGTCGGTCGCTGGATTTGTTGGCAGCTAGGTGAATGAAATTATTAAAAAAAGGTATATATTGCACATTTGTATGTGTGAAGGGAAGACTAGCTCCTTGTTGCGGCTTGGATCGATAATTTCATTGTGAGTGTTTGTGTGTGTGTGTGTGTTGTGAAAAACAAAACAAGGAGTTGAACAATGCAGTAGAAACACAAGTGGTGGCTCGTACACAAAAGGAATGCTAACAGTTACTCGTGTGTGTGTGTGTATGTATGTCTGCGCATGGATTTACGCCACCGATTTGTAATAGCATATTTGCGTTATTGATTGACCTGAAAACATGCACTACTTGCCAATGAAGCAACTGCAATCCCTTCAAAACTTCACGTGCTTTCTGGCATACTTTCTGGCTTTGCAAGCGAATTAATTCAAGCTACGTGTTTTAACGAAGTAGCTCATTAGTACACAGATACACATTAACTTATATAAGTACATATATTATATATGCACAAATTCAATATAATTCCACCATTTAATTTTTTCCTTTCTTCTCTTTTTTTGTCATCTTTAGAATTTCATTTTCTTTTACTATATATTTATATTGTACTCTTTCCCGTTCGAAAGCTTTGTTAGCTCAAAGTTGTTTATTTTTAATTTTATAGCTATTCAAGGCGATATTTCGAAAAAAAATTATTTTCTTTC